CTCTTGCTGTTGGTGCTGTCGGTATGCTAGCTGTTATATAATATAGTTGTTGCTATTTCATGTTACTGTTGCCTAGCACTTGAAGTAACCATTGTCGCCATTGTGATGTGAATATGGTCGTTGCAGTTTTTGACATTGGGCTATCATCAAGCTTGTTGTGGCTCTTTCCGTTTGCGCCATTGATGTCGCCAGTGCGGCTTGCCATTGGCAGTGCCATCGCAACAAGGGGCTCCTGCAGTTGGACAGGGGGGTGTCTACATCCCGGTGCTCTTGAATCACAAGCACCGGCACATCTGCGCGAAAGGTCCGTTTTCTCCAGCAGTCTCGATCGAAGCAGTAACATATGCAAAGGGGCTCGTTGCGGTGTCGTGCACATTTTGGTGATTGGATAGAGAAGTGAAACGTGAATGTGTCTGAATGTCTGAGAAAACTCCTTTTCGGACTCCGTTGGAGATTTTAGAGGGAGATGTTGAACAAAGTGTTGGTAGGGGTCCTGTAGGGATCTTGCACAGAGATCTTTAAAAAAAATCTTAAACACCTTTGCAAAAACACAACAATTCTGCGCGGACATGTTTACTGCAAGATCTTCACAGAAGGAGATCTTGTAGTACAAAGCCCTTGCAACGGTAATCGTGTGTCATGTTGCGTCATTGCACGCCCCGAATGAACGCCGTTTCACGATGTTTAGGGTGCCGGGACCTGCTGGAATTGCAAACGTCAAAAATGTTTTGCGCAAGTTTTGCTTACCCAATCCTGGGGAGGACAACGGGAATAACCGCTGAGAATGCTAATCCAGGAAGCCCAGTCTTGGGACGCCCAGACATACCGATAAAGGCCACATGCCACCAATCGCATGCCCGCCTCCACTGAGAAAATTGCTGCGTAAAAGGTGTTGAATCCCTGCAAAACGTCTTGTCCTGACATTCTGCAAAGCACTGCCCACAATGGGCACTCCACAAATACAAGCCGGCCGTCTAACGCGCATAATGCCACAGCCACAACAAACACCAAAAACAGGCTGCAACACTTCCCCAACCCAATGCCTGAGAAGCCGTCATCCGTTGCCTGCAGCTCCAAACTCACGCCAATGAGAACAGAGTTGCTCACCACCATGGTGAGGAAGAAAGCACCAAAATACGGCGCATCAACCTGTTGAAGTTGCAATAATATGTTGCAATCACTGAAAACATCCCTTGTGTTTCTTGGCGCGTCAACTTCTTTTTCCCTGCCCTACCCTGCTTCTACACACGCGTCAAAACTGAAGCACGGCGTTGGCGTAGCTAATCGCTTTCGGCTTTGGAACACTCTCTGTATGGCTGCATTGCAATACAATTGTCTTCAACCCCAGTTTTATCATACTGATGACGTCCGAGTATGGATTCATACACATGTTTTTGGAAAAATGCAGCCAATTTTGCCTTGGCCGGCCGCATCTCTTCTTGCCATATTGCATCCTAAAAGCAGAATTCGGTTGGAGTGATACCTGCCGTAAAGGATCTGAGTCCGGTGCACGGATAATACGCCCTAAAAGACTAGCTCTTTTGCATGTCCACTTGTGTTCCCTTAGGTTTCCCAGCTGTACCATGTTTGCGTTTAAAACCCATCCATTCCTTTCGCCATTAGCGCTTGTATTTCTGGGCCGGCATATCTACGCATGCTTGCCTGGTCCCCAGCTTTGCTGACAAGCGGGGTGCGGAAATTAGCATCAAACCGCTGTCGCACCTGGTGAAGTCTTTGCAGCACTGGCCTAGAAAGTGCTATGACGCTCTAGGTCCTGTCTGGGCTGGCACAAGGGCCTCACAACTGTCCAAACAAGGACCCTTTGCATGTGCCAAATGCGCCTTGAACATCACTATGTGCATGAGCGTCGTTAAATTAGAATTAGAAGTGCGGACAACACTTCAGAAAACCCGGCCAGCTGCTTGCGAAGGCAGAAGCACTTCAGCCACTCCAGCGCTTGGAGTGAGCCTGCAAGGGAGAGGGCGGCACTTCCACGATTTCCATCCTGGCAACACAGTCAAGCAAATTACTCAAAGCTCAAGAAGCGCCAAGTCTATATAAGTGCTAAGAGGTTCCACGGCCTTACGCGCTTGTAAGGCTAAAATTCGCTGAGGTGGGCTGAGTTGCACTGATTTGGCTGTGAGGTTGAGGGCCAACGCCCGCTCAGCAATGTTTTCCCCAAGAAAGGCCAAGCTTCACCTCCCCGTCTCAAGCTGCGAGCAGGCTGAAACAGTGTTGGAAGAGGGTATGGCGGCACCACAGGGCAGCACAGCGCAGGCCTTGCGAGGACACCCTCATGCCCAGCGGGCTCATTTCCAGTAACATGGCCTGGGCGGCCCCCTGCTTTGAGTCTTTACAGCTTCAGAGTGGGCGGCTTCAAAGTCTTCATAAAGCGCTGCTCACTGTTCAACTTCTTACGTCGAAGCAGTGTGGGCTTTGCCTTTTCCCTTTTTTTTGCGATTTGCCTTTGCCAGACCCCTGCCACCAGGTGGTAAGCACATTCGCTGTCAAAGAAATTCTGGAGTTCACCGCAATGTGTCCCAACAAGGACCGCAGTGAAGCACGGGCACAGTTCTTTGCTGGAAGTTCTGAAAGGACGCATCGGATCACCCAGTGGAGCCTTGCCACCAGAAGCATCAGCGGGGGAGGGGCGGAAATGACTGTCCAAAGTGCAAGAGGTGTGAGGCACAGGGGGGGTATTCTTCCCGGAGCAAGGAGTGGTCAAGATGGGGAAGACTTTCTTGAGCTCATCCTCCTGGCTTCCACCTTCCTCCTCACCATCATCTAATTCATGGGGCCACGCCAATGAACTCTTTGCCTCAATGGAGAAGTGCCCCCGCATCAGCTCGACGGCCACATCATGCGGGATTCTAGTCTTGAAGCCTCGCCCTTCCCGCCCAGCCCAGAGCTCCGTCCATTGTGCTACCTCCTCGTGCACATGCCCCCCCCAGTCCTGACCCAATGCCAGAAAGTACCCACGACTGCAACCCAGATAGCCCCGTCAGGAATAGCCCATCTGCATCCAAGGGATGTTTCTTTTTGATCTCGAAGCCTCGCACCAGGAATCATCAAGGCACCCAAACGCCACGTTGCACCCGTTCCTTGATGAGTGCCACGGCACTTAGACCATGGCATGAAAACACCGGAGGGGTGCTCATCCTCACCCAGGGCCACCCTGGCAGGTCGCCCTGCCTTGAGCAACCAAAGCTGGAAGATGCTGCAAGTAAACAGCAGCATTACAAAGATCCAATCCTCTGCACATGAACCCCAACATTTTCATGAGCTCATGACCTCTTCGGCGCTAAGGAAATATTTTGGATCGCATAGCTCCTAGCTCCATCAACTAGCCGCTGGAGGCCCTCAATAATTCTTTCACCCTAGTAATCACACACAAATAGAACAAAAGCTGAAAATCCAATAGACTTCCCGGCCATGCCACAATGTGCTCAATTCGTTTGCAAAATCGAGCCCACCAGGTGGAGTTGTTGGATTCCTCCACTTCACTGACGGTCTGCATATGCGCGAAGTCGCGCACCATTTTTGTGTGCACTTGCTGCGCGAGCTCGTATTCACTCAGCTCCTCCTACATTGAGGCCATAACGGTGGGAACACAATGCTTTGGCTCAATTTTCTTTCAGAATGTTCAAATCAAAGTTTCAGCCGTGCTCCTGCAATGAGGAGGTTGGAGCGCTGGATGCAATGTGGCTCATGTCGGGTGATTCCCAACTCATCTTCAATGTCTCACTGGAGGCAGCTTTAATGTCAAAGCCCTGACAACATGCATTGGGCTGGAGGAAACAGCTAAAGAATCAAGGACAAAAAAGTTTGTCGCTCTTTTAGTGTCGCCGAAAGGCCTTTCGAGCAGGAGAAGGTACTGGCCGTGAGTCATAGCAGCTGGACAGCCAAAGATCTAGCCGCTCAAACAGTTCCTTCCGGTGATCCTGAGCGTATGGAGTTGCTTATATAATGCTCTTGAGTAGGCATAACGGTGAAGACGGTAAAAAAATGAATACTGCAAATAGATGTAAACAGAAGCTGATTCAAAGACTATAGATTCGATTCTATTCTATACTTCACCTTGTCTGAACAGCCGTTGCTCAATGAAAGTCCAACCTCATGATCAATCAGTGTTTCATAGCGGATGCTGACCAGCTTCTTTCAGAACCTTTTCAAGCTGCTCAGGCAGCGCACCGACATCATCCATGGCCTTAGAGCCTCTGTATATGCGGTGTGTTGTCTCTGGGAACGCTGGCAAGCCCTACCTTGACCTTGTTTCTGGGCTTGATGAGGTGAATCGATCTACTTTGAGCAAAGACTGCGAGAGCATGTTCAACTGAGCTGTTTAGGTAGCTTTAGGTGCGAATCTCACGCGGAAACATGTGCGTTGGAGAAGCTTGCTAAAGGTGGTTGATGGTCTCAAGCACGTTTTGGACAATCCTCCCCTGGAGTTAAGAACCATGGAGTCATGCAGCCGCAGCCAGCACACAAACTGTGTAGTTTCCCTGACCTCGCATCCATTCCTTTGGCCTGGACCTGCCTAAGGGAAAAACGCTCCGCAAGCACCGCTCGCTTCATTGTCTCATTCACGGGCATGTTCTGTATCCAACCGCATCTCTGAATTTAGACGCATGGCCCAGAGTGGCCTAAGCCATGAAGAAGGCCAAATAAGGAATCAAAAGCCTGTGCCTTCCACAAAAGAGCCAATTGAAAAACTGAGCACTCTCGACTATGTTCATCGTCTTTTTCGTCTTCAGTTTCGTCATGGCCAATCCGAAAACAGCTCGAATGTCCCTTCCGGCCAAGTTTGGCCGCTTTCGTTTGCCAAAGCCTGCCCCGATCCCGAAAGCGGCAGTGCCTCGCTGATGCTAGTGCCCAACAAGTGTCCCCTACTTGAAGCCCTCTGCCGAGGATGCCCCTCTCAGGATCGAAACATCACATAGGCTTCCCCGGCTCTGTCTCCTTGAGGACACACACAGGACCCCCAGGGAGTCCGCAGTGACTCAGGGCTGTTCCTGCGGATCCTCTTCGACTTTTCCCTTGGCATTGGCTGGAACTGCATGGAGGCCAGCATGAAGTAGAACCTTCGCTGCAACGGCTTGTCATGTGTCGTCAGTCGTCAGTCAGCCTGGGTAACTGTTTGAAACGTTCCTGAATCAATGAATCAAATCATTGCTTGAAAGAAATTGACATCTGTCACACAATCTTGTCTGGAGTCAGCCTTCATGCAGGCCAAGTCACAAAGAGCAGCGATGCCCCGATGATGGCAAGGATCATCATGCGATAGAAGACCAGCACCACCAAGGCATTCAATCCACCCAGCGCGTAGATCAAATGATGCTTCGTGATGAGAGCTTTTGCAACCTGCCGGCGTGACTTCACTTGCGTGCTGTGCACAAATAGCAGACACCACTTGCAGAAACGTTCTGGAAGCACATCTCAAATACCGGTTCGGCTGCCTGGCCTGTACCCTCAAATGGTTTGGCCGAGTGAGAAGCCCATACCACAAGCCGGAGAAAACGCAAACGAGGACCTGAAGTGCGAGCAAGTACTGCGACGCTTTGGGTGAACACCATTCAGGTCCCAAGCCCAGAACATGCGTCTTGCGGATGATAGTAAGGCACTTGTTACTAGTAGCGATGCACTTGTTACCAGTAGCTTCTCGTTACTACTGGTAAGGCACTTGTTACTAGTAGTTTGGGTTCTATGATGTCTGCACCATACTAACAAGTTCACCGTGTTTCGTCAATTGACTTTAGCTGAAAGCTGTTCATCTGTTTCTGCTGACCTACTTACTTAACATGCCATGTCCGTCAAAGAAATGCGAAGAATCAGCAGCAACAATCCTAGGTACTAAGAGCTGTGGGTATACCACAATCGCCGTGAGTGCGAAGATCGCAAGGCAAACCTTGGACATCAATGAGACCAAGATTTGCATCAAAACAGGAGACTCTAGGCCTTGACGACCTTGACACGTGAAAACGACCCGCAGAACAGGTCACATGTACCTTGTGCAACTGCGGCAAGAGGTAGAATTGGTAAAGTAGCTGAATGGAGTCTGGGGTGGTAGTTATATTGCCGTGCCCGTGGATATGTGCATAACACGTATACGTGTAAAAAAAAAAATATATATATATATATATATCTGTGTGTGTGTCAACCCCTGGGCCAAGGGTTCACCAGCACCACCTTTTCCACCTTCACCACCTTTTCCACCACGACAGCGAGTTTCACAGGCAGGGGCGTGCAGCATCTGTGGTCCACTGCACGCAACGAAGCTACGACCACAGATGGGAAGGGATCAAGGACGCTTGATCCTGTACCTGCCCAAATCTTTGACCAAGCTGTTACTCCACTTTTCCACTTTTTGCTTCCATGGTTCTTGCATGATACTTCCCCAAAACCCTAGTTTCTGCCGATGAGTTGCACCGCTCGTTCGCCACCGCTGAGCTCTGCAGTCACGCACCAACAACTTGTTCAACATTCAAGTGAACTGACTTTCTCGCCATACCGTTCCCTCACCATTTTCGACCTGGGAACTGAGTGTAACTGAATACAATTGTCAGAGTGTGTTTCGCTCAGCCGTCCCACTCGGGTGCTGAGTGTGATCCCCGTCATTGGGGCGCTGTCTCATCGTGCAAAGTAACTGACCTCACCACCTTTCACAGGAACTCCACTGGAAGTCACCTCCACGTCCACCGAATTAACTGCCACAACGGCCGCCGGGCCTAAACACGGGAACTGACAGTTTTGCAGCGCTTGCATTTTTCTGCATGATTTTGCATTTTCCGCATGATCCTGCATATGTACTCAAGCAATCTGACCTGAGTTTTCGACAGTTTAATTCGATTTGCATGAACACCCTACCACACCACATACTAACTTTCCACGTGACGACAACTCCTACTTCTCCACAACAACACATACCCGCTTTCCGCACAAGCGTTACGATTTCAATTTTGAATGATTACACCAGCTGCAGTCTCCGCTGCCGTGCCGCGCCGCCGCCGCCGCCGCCATTGCGAAGACTTTGCCACACAGCTGTCACGATTTTTTCAACAGCCCTCCACTGGACGCCTCATGCAGTATCCCTGGCCATACTCACATGCAACACCACCTCCACTGCCCACCGCACCAACACAGCCGACAACACATTTGCCACATTCACATACCGCACCAGCATTTCCTTATCCACAACATCCGGCATTTCCAGTACCACAACATCCAACATTTCCAGCTCCACAACCTATGTCAATACCAACTCCAACACCTTTTCACTCGGCACCAACAGCTGCAATGCCTTATGGCAATCCCTCCACATGGACCCTTGTACACCCTTCTCAGCCACAACCCACACAACCACAACCCACATATCAACCACCCGCACCTCCCCCATCCTACCTGGTGCAACAGTTACACCACTCACCACCTAGCGACCCCGCCACAGCCGCACCAATTCAACCACCTCCTGCACCTCAGCAAGTCCTTTCAGCTACCATCCCAACAGAACCCCAGTGGCACATGCCACAAGGGGTCTGGCAACCTTACTCCGCATTCCCCCCAGTTACGCAACCTTTGCACCAATCTCCATCACAACCGCCACAGTGGCCCCGGATCCTGCCACCGGAGCACCAGCCAACCCCGTTTCACCTGCCCAACCATCCCCAGCAGTCGCCGCCACCATCACAAGAGCCGCCGCAGGACCGACCACCACCGAAGCGGTCGCCATCGACATCGCCGTCGGCACAAACATCGCCACCACTCCACAGCCACGAGACATCACAGTTCCTCCTGGCGACACCGCTCGCCATCCACATCTACATATTCCTACTCCTCCACACATTCCCGCAGCCGCTCCAGGCAGCCGATCGACCTACGACCCAACACAGACGCTTCCACAGCAGACAATACCAACACTGACACCTCGAAATATCCACTTACACCAGTCGTCCGTCGACCACCCAACCGCTGGCGACCCACACAACACTTTCAGACCTTATCGCCCGAGGAGCAAATCCTCACTTGGCTCGACTTTCATGCTGACCAGCTCGACGCTTCCAACCGACCTCAACATCAATACCTGGCAAACCTCCTCTTCGACAGCAACATCACATACAAAGACATCACTGATTCCCGGCAATACACCTATGTCAAGTGGAATGAAGCCACCCAGCAATACGATCAATTCCAATACAACGCAATTTCACTACCTTTCCTCAGCACCAAAGCCTCCAGAACATCACCACCACCCGTTTCCCGCGCCACCTCCACTCACAGGGAAGTCGCCCACATCAACGCCGGACACACTGGCCCTGTTGGCAACACGACAAGGCCGTTTCCTACCCAGCACACTCCACTTTGCAAACTATCCCGGATTCTTTGCTCAAGGCGTCCGCATTACCCACAACCAACAACACGACCAAGGCGAATTTGCTCCAATTATCCACAATACCTGGCAACTCCACAAGAACACCCACTCCCTCATCGTCACACTCCTGGCATGGGGCGCCGCCACGAAATACACTTCTGGCGGCGAAGAGCAGGCTATGACCCTTCTACACGACCACCACGGAGCCGTCTTTCATCAGAAAGGCAGATGCTGGGTCATCCACCCCGACCATGCCATCGTCAAAGGACTGGCACGGTCCATCAACTCCACCCCACCGGACCTATTCCACATACCACTTCCCTGCAACCACCCATTACAACCTTCTGTTTCACCCAGCCACACTTTCGGCTTCGCCAACAGCCAAAAACAATACTGGCGCTTGCAAAGCCACTCCAAGCTTCGATGTTACATGGCACCCAAGCTTTGATGTTACATGACAACCAGCCTTTCAGACTTGGATGTTTTCAAGAGAACTGTCACTCTTCTGTTGCGACTTGTTTTCCACCGTTTCAAGCTGATTTTGAATTCATTTCGCATGCATTTTGGCCCGGTTTTGTGACTAATTCGCTTGCACGCTCCCTTGATGCTGCGCTGCCGTTGACCAGCCGCCGCGCAGCCGAGCCGCCGCGCTGCAGCTAAAAAGTGAGAAGAACTCCAACCACTCATCCTACAAGCATACCCAACTTATGACCAGCACAAACCCACCTCCTCACGAAGACACCAATGCATTACTACATCAAACGACAGTGGCACTTTCTCAGATTCACAACCTTCTACGACAAGCAACTGACATCATGGCACACCTTCACACTCGCTTTTTACACCACATCAGACAGGCAGATCCCACCTTCCGCCGACCTTTTACACAACTACCACCAGCACCAACATACTCCATCAATTTGCCCTCCGCACCACCCACACCACGAGTCCGCCCACCACCACAGCCTTCCAACAACTCCGAGGACACACCTTCTCCTTCCCCTCCACCCAAGCGTCCACCGGCATGACACCACCACCGCAACCTCTACCTTCCACTCCGGACCACATTTCACCTACTCCTACCTCACCAGCCAACACACCACCACAACCATCACAGCCAGACTTCTCACCCTCCCCAACGACTACCCCTCTGTCTCCACACGAAGCATCTTCACATGAAGCTTTGCCACCGCAGCCGGCTGCTGAGCGAGCGCCCAGTGAGAACAGGCATCCGGAGCCACCTTCCGACATGCCTATTGGCAGCTATTTCATTTGATCGGTTTCACCCACGTTCCCCGGCGTGCCACAGGATAAAATTCAACAGCACTTCCTTTTGACTTTTTGACTTTCCCACACATGAGCACTTGGCTTTCAACCCTTTCTAAAGGTCATTTTGAACTCACGCGAACCTCTTTCAAGCAATCACTGGTGCCACTTGATTCCATGTCGTTGTGATTTACACTTTGTGTTTTTGACAGGCTCACCGCAGTCCCGCAGCATTTACGTGACGCTCAGCCCTCGTGCCCTCTTGCCATCACTCATGGCTTCCCCTCGTGATCGCACTGCAGCTAACACAGCGGGCAACGACTACTACCTACCAGGACGACCTCCCAGTTGGCTCAGACCCTCCATCACCACTCAGCCCAACTTCCATTCACTCAACTGCTCGCTCGACATCCTTTTCCTGATTGTCCAACACATCCGACGCCACCCACTCCACACAGACCCCATGCCGGGCCAAACATACTTCCAAGATGACAGAGCATACAACATACTCTACCAATTCCGACGTGACATGATGCTAATGGACCGCCTGGTTGACAGCATCTACCAAGCCCGACGTTTGCTCCAATTTGCTCCCGGACAGCCTGGCCTCCCGGGACAAAATCGCATCGATCCCTCGGCACGACTTTCCTCCAGCAACCTAGCTGCCCTCCACAGTACTCCACCGGATGACACTATCAGACCACTCACCTTCTCCAACCCCACGTACACCACCTCAGGGCGCACAACGTCTTCGCCACTACTGGACTGGCCCCCCACCACGCGACAACCACCACACCGGCCAGAGCAACCACAACCGTGCCAGAGATCACTCACGATCCCGGGACACCAACGCTGACTAACCCACAGGCCTCTCAACAACAGCAAGCATGACAGCAGCCTTTTGCTGAGCAGCTGCGGCCGGCCGCTAGGCACACTCCTCCACTTGAGAACATTCCTCGGGCCGCGACCGCTGATCCATATTCCCGTCTCACCGACATTCTACGGCGAGCTCACGCGAAAAAACTTCAATCCTCGGAGTTTTTTCTTCTTTTTCAGATCTTTCTTACCTTGCAACAGTTGCGTTCTACTCCCGCAGCCATTTCACCGAACCGCTTTCCTCCATCCCTATCTCTCATGACTGAGCGCCACATTGCCGATATGCTGCTGCGCGCTGCTGCCCCGACTCCAACATCACATCCTCCAGCAACAGCCACCATTTACACAGATCCACCCACCACCCACCACGGGCATTTCTTACCCACCAACCCGATGCC